CCATGGATAGGGAAATCAACTGAAAGCCAAGATCAGGACGAGATGAAAGTAACTCTGAATGGAGGAATGACATGGTACCCTATCGAGCAGGAAAGAAGCTAGAAACATAAAAAGTTAGTGACTATCATCTTCAGCCAAAACTGGCCGACTACATGTTTAACGCTAGCACCACTGAATTTGTGGCGGTTCTCAAAGACATGGGGCACAAAGTGAGATAGCCAAAGGAAATAAGAGCAAACCCAGACAAACGAAGCCAGGAATTCTGATGTAAATTCCATAATGATCATGGTCATAGGGCTATTGATTGTAGAGTCCTACAAATTAAGGTTGATCGAATTATCAAATAGGGATACCTTACCAAACTCAATAGTGAGAAAGAAAAGCAGTTATATATGAAGAATATGAGAAAGGAAGGACCGCCTTGGGCTCCGTTAATGAAGCGAGTGGTCAATGTTATATTTGGAGGCGTGAAGCATGAACGGTGTTACATAACAGCCTCGAAGAAGCTTTCAAAGGTATCCATCACCTGTGAGAAGTGTACTCAACATACCCTGACTAGAGAAGAAATCTCTTTCAGTGACGAAGAAGTAGATGGGTTGATCATGCCATACAACGATTGATTAGTAATTACTTTAAAAATAGTTTACACTGATGTTAGACGTGTCTTGGTTGATCCAGGTAGCTTGACCAGCATCATCTAAATGCAAGTGATTAAGGAGATACAACTTGGTGGATCAGATTATCCCAAAAGCATTATTACTCTCCGAATTCAATAATTCTAGGAGACGACCAAGGGGAGATCACCCTGAGGACCTTCGCAAAAGGTGTAACACAAGAGATCTCATTCCAAGTCATGGTAGGGAACATTGTCTTCAATGCCATCCTGGGGAGACCATAGATACATGATATGGATGTAGTATCATCAACTTTACACAAGTAATAAAATTTAATTTACCCTAGGGAATTAGAGAAATCCGTAGAGAATAGAGAATGACCTGAAAAGTTAATTTAATTCCAGATGTCAATACCATCCCAAAGACGGAAGAAGACAAATAGCAATTACAACAACATGTTTCTAAGCTAGTCGAGTCGGTCCCCGATGATTGAATCATCGAACCGAATAAGACCAGTGTCATCGATTCAACTACTAAAGAGTTAGATGAAGCGATTAGTTTCTTCCATTGGCCGGAAAGGAAAGTCTACATTAGTTCGGGGCTGACCCCAAAATAGATAACTTCGATTTGTTTTGCTTGATAACTTCAATTGTTTTGCTTTGTGAAATGCAAAGATGAATAGGATTCCATTAGAGGTAATGACTCATCAGTTTAATGTTTATCCTAATTGCTGATCGATTAAACAAAAGAAGAGAAACATTAGGTCCATAATGAATAAATTCATAGAGGAAGAAGTAGCCAAATCGCTAAACAATGGGTTCATCCGAGAGATAAAATATTTGGATTGGTTAGACAATATCGTGGTAGTTCCCAAGAAAAAAGTCAAATTAAGGGCATGCGTGGACTACAAATACCTCAACAAGGCATGTCCTAAAGATTCTTTTCCCGTGCCAAAAATTGATCAACTAATAGATTTTACTACTTGACCCGTATTGCTGAGTTTTTGGATACATACTCTGGATATAACCAAATAAAAATGGACCCGAGGGATCAGGATAAAACCTTCTTCATAACTGACCGGGGAATATATTGCTACAATGTCATGCCGTTCGGGTTAAAGAACAAGGGGTCAACATATCAAATGTTCGTCAGCCAAAGATTCATAGATCATATGTGGAAGTCCATGGAAGTCAACATTTTCGGTATGCTGGTAAAATTAATCCAAGCAGATGGTCATTTAGATCACCTATAGGAAGTATTTTCCATCCTCCGAATATACAACATGAAGCTAAACTCAGAGAAATGCACCTTTGGAGTAGGCTCAGATAAGGTTCTTGGTTTCCAAGTCTCAAATAGAGAAATAGAAGCTATCCTGCATAAATAAAGCTATTGAGAAAATCCCGAAAGTGTTAACGAAGTAGAAAGAGGTGAAGAGGTTGACTAACCGAATAATAGTTCCCGACCAATTCATATTCCATTTGTCAAAATAATGCCATAAATCCTTTGCACCCCTAAAGAATAACAAAGACTTTGAATGGACTCACCGAGTGTTAATAGGCACTATGGGACCTAAAGAAGTACCTATTCAACCCTCCACTCTTGTCCAAGCCTTATCTAGGAGAGCAACTGCTAGTGTATTCAGCTGTATGAGAAGCTACTGTAAGTGCTATATTGGTACGAGAGGATAAAAGTACAGAATGTCCAATCTATTATGTTAGTAAGACATTTATAGATGCCAAAATTAGGTATCCTCACCTAGAAAAGTTAGCTTAGCATTGATAATGGACTCCCAAAAACTATGGCCTTACTTTTAGTGCCACCTGATTTTTGTGGTGACCACCTTCCCATTGGTGAATATTCTTCATAAGCCAGAACGCTCCAGACGGCTTGCCAAATGGGTAGTCAAACTAAGCGCATTCGATATAATGTATCAACCTTGCACAACTATCAACTTACAAGTCCTAGTCCACTTTGTCGCTGACTTTAGTGTGGGTATGCTCTCGGAGGCTGAAAAAGAAGTTATTATAGCTTCTGAAGTAGAACTGAACTTTGGACCCTCTACATGATAGTAGCCTATATTATACGATGTAGATGCTATTTATGCTCTAAGTTAACCATACTTTATTGATGTTTTAAGTGCTAAATGATAATAAAATGCTCTAATTGAGGTTTTTATGCTTTGCAGGAACTACTTCGAGTTAGAGGAGGATATAGAGTGTTTTGAGGTCAAAGATGTAGATACAAGGCCAATCGAGAAGAGCCCGGATGAAAACGAGCAAGAAAAGGTGAAGAAAAATTGGGCAACAGCCCACCGCAACCGCGACTGGAACGTCGTGAAATAAGGCAAAAAATAGAATGTTTGGAAATGACCGCGATCGTGCCGCGACCGCGGTCGATTTGGAGAAATCCAAGAAGTTTTAGGGCCAAAGTGTAAATCGTGGGAAACTTATCCTAACCCTATATAAACTCAACCAACTCGCCCAAGTGAAGGTTAAGCTTGTTTTTAGACTGAATTGGAGGCAAAAACAAGTATGAGAAGATCAAGACACCATTAGAGTTTTCATTCTTCTTCTTGTTATCATTATTTTGTGAATTATGAATAATTTTATGGTTTATTCTTGCTTTACTATGAGTAGATAAACATTTAATCTAGAGTTGATGGAACCAATTGTTAGATGAAGTTTTGACTCAATTTTGTTATAATCGAGCTGAGTTTATTATATGAATGTTCAACTATGTTTTGTATGGTGATTAATTGAACGGTTCCTTGATTAATCGTGTCTAATTGCCTTGTGTTGCTTGAGAAAGAATACACGGTTAGATTGCTGTTGAACAACACCACTTTTGGGTAATTGAAAAGATTCATTACTTGAACTTAAAAGTGGGGTTAGAGATAACAAAACTTTTGTGGGATAATTCAGAGCTGCATAAATTATCAGCTAGAGTAGTTCAAAGAATGCTCTAGTAAATTATCATAGTTGATCGAGAGATAATTGCGGTAACCCATAGCTCATAAACCTCATAGAGTATTACGACGAGATTATAGCAAATGAGTTAAGACTTAAACTAGCAATTGGGGAAATCAATACCCTAGATATTTTTACCATTGAATTATCTTTGATTTAGAATATTGTTAGTCTTAATATCATTTTACTTTAGTTAAACAAAACCCAATATTTATTTACAAAAATCTTACATCCGAAAATTGTTTGAGCTTGTATTAGCATCACTAAGAGTTGTGATATATAGGTTAGTTCCCTGAGGATTCGACCCCGGACTTAAAAACCAGATTATATTTGCAATAACCGCTTGTTTTTTATAAGGCATAGTTGGGCGTGATCAATACACAAACTGCTTTTCAAGTGCTAAAGGGTCCAGATTAGGCATATTACTTATCACTTCTATTGGAAAAAGGTACGACAAGGCATTAAATGCTATTTTATAACTAACAATGCAGTAGAGTATGAGGCTGTGATTGCATGTCTCAAACTAGCCAAGAAACTAGGAGCAGATCATATAGAATTAAAAAGCGACTCACAATTAGTGGTCAATCAAGTATAGAAAACTTATGAGGTTCGAGACTCACGGATGATGTAGTTCTTGAACAAAGTCACTTCCCTCCTTGGTCATTTTCTAGAATAGAAATTTACTCAAATGCCCCTAGAAGAAAATGTTGAAATTGATGCGACGAGGTGAATACGGCTTATCTGGTTCAACATTGGCGCGATAAATCATTGATTATTTACAGAATGGGATATTACCGGAAGAAAAGAGAAGATGTCGAAAGCTAAGGAACAAAGCCGCGGGATATTGCCTTGTGTCAAATGATTTATTCCGAAGAACCTATAGCGGCCCATTAGCCAAGGGTTGGACCGGGAGGACACCAATTATATGATGCGAGAAGCCCACGAGGGCCAATATGGAAATCATTCAGGGAATAGATCCTTGGTTCAAAATTGCTAAGATATGAGTACTTCTTTCCTCATATGAAACAAGATGCAGCAGATTTTGAGAAAATATGAGAAATGCCAGCGGTATGCTTAAGAATTGCATAGACATGCCAAAACCTTACATTCAGTACTTGCTCCTTGGTCCTCCATGAAGTAGGGAATGGTCATCATAGGATCATTGCCACAAGCTCCGGAAAAAGTAAAGTTCCTTTTGGTCCTCATTGATTACTTCTTCAAATGGGTAGAAGCAGGTGCATTGCTCAGGTTTGAGAAAAGGAAGTCCTAAACTTCATATGTAAGAACATTATTTGCAAATTTAGAGTACTAAAGGAAATAGCATGCGATAACGGATCATAGTTCATCAAAAACAAAATAATTAAAGTCTCCCAAGAATGGAAGATCAAGAGGGTTATCTCCACACCGTACCATCTGTTAGTACACAGACAAGTAGAATCATCCAATTAGGTCTTTTGACAAATAGATAAGTATCTCAAAATACTCACGGGATTTCCAAAAATATACGACAACAAACTTTTGAAAACCCAAAAAGAAGGAAGCACTATCAAACTAGTCACTGGTCATTATAGGAATTCCTCAGTGAGCATTGGAGGAAGGAGAGTCCGGCGTGCTAGCCTAAGCATCCGGCGGATAGGAGAAAATTGATGGGTTCAAGGGAAAATGGGAGAAATTAGAGGAGTTCTAAAGGAGGAATGGCCTGAGAAGTCGAAGGGAGAGAATGTACATCAATAACTCCTTCACCCCGATTACCCGATGGCATGACTGTATCCAAATTATCCCAGAAGAGTGATTGTTAATGCCGTCCAAGTCCAGCTCCAGTTGGCCATCTTTCTATGCTCGTTTGGCCTCTCCTATCTCTTCACCTAGTTCTAGATCATTATCAAGAACCCACCTCAGCATCTTGAGTTGGGATTCCAAAAATATGGAATGTTGAGTAATATCAGAATAAATTTCAAAGTCAAGCTGGAGACATCATTATCATTTTCGTGCTTGAGCCTCTCCTCGGTCTTCAAAGCTCTGTGTCTCGAGGGCCCTTCATATTTACTCCACATTATAAAGGCGAGCTTCTCGGATGTCACGTTGCCCGACAACTTGGTCCAAGAGGGCTAGCTTTTTACTAAGTATTCCTTAATTTGAAAAAGCCTCTTTGTGGACTGGCCAAGCTTAAACCCCATCCGATCCAGCTCCCCCTCCATCATCTTGACCCGATACTCATGAGCCACCCTCTTAAAATGTACTTTCTCAACCTCGATCTTTCCATCCTCTATGGGACCACTCAACTCCAAAATTTACCCCTCATAATGACTGATCCTCTCCGAAATTTGGGAATATATCAAACGGGCCTGCATAAACAAAGGAAAAATTGCTTAAACATTGAAATCAGAGAAAAATGCAATATTTGGTGCGGTAAAAAGAGCATACACGAAGAGTGCATCTCATCATATCGCTCACAAGATTTGAGGTAGGCATCCCCTCCAGCTCCTGCAAATCTATTCCCTCAGAAACCTGCGCCATAATGCGAAGCTTGCTAGCGTTCGTAGAATGAACGACATGGGAAGTAGTTGGAGCTGCCGGAGCTATGGTCAGAGTTGAAACTACTGGTGTCACAATCGGAGAAGAATATGTCGAGGCCACAAGAAATTTCTGGGGAAACCTTTGTGTTAAGGAAATCGTTCTCCAAACCCATAGTGGACTCTGCCTTCTCAATATTGATGAGGATGGAGCTGGTAGCCCGGGATTGGGAAGGCTTTTTCCTAAAGCTGGACCAAGTCCGCCTTCGGAGAAATCTGATAGGAGCACTCGCCGGAGCATTTGCCTGGGAAATATTCTTGTTGTGCCTATCTACCGAAAGCTCTTGAATCCTTTCTTGGACATTACTAGGAGGAAGATCCACCAAAACTCGGCATAGAGGCCTTCTCATCGGGATGCCTACACATAAAATAAATTAGATTACAAGTAGCACAAATAAGGATCTACGAAAATTCCAAACATACAGTGACTCTTGTCCCTCCATCAGAAAGCTTCAGAGATGTGACTCCAAATCCTCTATGGCATCGAGGAATAAAATAAGTTCTTCTCGACCCACTCTTCAATGTTAGGTGCCTCTTCGAGTGAGGTAAGAATGGTTAGAATTTAGGCGTAAAGTAAGATAAAGCGCAAAAAGGAAATTCCAAAAGAAGAATAATATTCTTACACTTATCATTCAAATTTTCCTAGACTGATCTCCTGGATAACTAGGTAAAATCATGGGTAGTAACAACCATGAAGCAATCATGCCACCCTCTATCGTGATTGTCCTCGGCATCCACGATCTTTCGAGTACTTCGATTGGAGAGAATGATAATGCTGCCCCGCTACAACTTTGTGGAGTATAGATGAATGAGAAGTTGGAGAGAAAAGTTGATGCCAGCTAGATTCAATAGGTGATGAAAGCAAGTCACCAACATCCAAATTGACGGACCAACCTAGGCCAGGCTAATGTTGAAGTGCCAACAGAGATCTTAAATTATGAAATCTACTAGGGTTGAAATTAAAGTAAAGCGATAAGTATATAAGAAAATAAAGCCCTCTCTGTAGCTTGATATCTGCTCAGATTTTGAGGGTACTTGAACATCTACGTTCTCCCAACTACATCCTTCAATCAATAGAGGAAGGTGTTCAAGTTACACAAGGGAAAGTAGAATATCCACAGGACATGTAGTGTTGTTCCAAACATCGTCATCAGTCCAGGTATCACTTTTCCCTTGCAAAACTTCAGAAATAGTAGGCTCGACTTCCGTCTTCATCCTTTAACTAGAAGAAGCCTTGGCTGCTTTCTTCATTTTACCTTGGGCATACTCAACCGCATTATCGGAGGGCCCCGTTGCCAAAGTGGATAGAGACTCTATGGCAGCAACAACTACTTGATGAGTATCTTGCTTGTCCATGATGTTATGTGCAAGAAGGATAACACAAAGAAGGAATAGTCAAGGATGCAATTGAAGGAAGAAAGATGATAGAAGCTATGGTATCAATTGTGTATATTTATGGGCAAAACATAAAGCCCCAAATTTCTAGAGAATCGAGCTTCCATCAATCACCAAGAATAACCATCAACGCCTAGGAAACTACTATCGATAGCAGATCCTGTAATATTCGACCATGTATCGAGAGTATTAATAAGATACTGCACACGCCTCTTGTCAATAACAAGTCAAATCATGTTATCTTGGGGATACAAAAGATCAATATTTCCCACTAAGAAATTTGTCAAGATTTGTTCCATTGGAAGATTTCCATTTCCCGAGTACTTCCTACGAGGTTATGAAAAATAGGAAAGAGGGGACTATAATATCTGTAAAATAGGCTTAATTAGTGGCTGAATCTATGGTATTTGTATAATCGGCTCGATTGATGGTTAAATCTTGACGGACATAACTTTGGGAACAAACTCTTTTGCTGAAAATCTACACCTAGTACCTATGGCTAGGGACTGTTCGAAAGATTGCAACACCCATAACAACAATCACTTGGGCTCACCCCAAAAGCAGGCCCTCTTGAAAGAAGCCTAGGCATGGGGACTTTGCCCAAGTTAAATTTTCACAAAATAATAAACGAAAAATCTTTCATATAATTAGCCACAAGGCCATGCCACAATATCACTCGCCCGGCTAGACAACCCGAATGAAGAAATATTTCTAATCTCGCTCCCCGAATAGCAGAAGAGATTCTTCACAGGCAATAAAAAATATAAAAAGTCTTATGAGGAAACCTTAATCGATTTTTATAAATATACGGTGAATTCATCTTGGCTTAGCCTATAAGACTGCAACAATCATAACATGCAAATATGCAAAAAAGAAAAAACAAAAACAAAAAAGCATAAATAAACTTGCTATTAATTATAAAGGCACAAAAGACCCACAATACAAAAACTTTCATAGAGACCCTCATAAGCCTTTTGTTCCCAGTAGAGATACTTGGGAGGAATAAGGGAGAGATGAAGAAGGAGCAACTGTAGGAGCAGGAGGTAAAGGATGCTCGGATTCTTCGAAATCATTGTAGGTAGAGGAGCTTGAAGGATTCACTCTATCTACAAGTGAATATACCTTGGCAACCTCTTCATCAATGGATAAACCCTCGGAACGGATCGCATAAAGGATCTTCTAACGGGACATTAGATAAGCAAACATTTTTCCTTAAACTGCATTTTAGCCTCCTTCAATTCTGAGGCATCATCAACCTATTGAGCCCAGAATCTGTTCCTCTCCGTCTTAGAGCATTTTAATTTCCTTTCAAGCTCGGCTACCTCTTCAGACAACTTTCGACACCGATCCTCAAGGGCCTGCCACTCGGAGATAGCCTAGCTTTGGTACTCCATGTTGATGCCCAATTTTTTTTATAATATTTTCAAAACTATGTCTGGGCATCAATTAGTATTTTTCATACAATTTCTGTATTTTTAAAATATTTTAGTAATTAATTTATACCAGCATTTATTTTATAAAAACATTCACTGATTGCATCACAAATAGCTTTATAATAATTTTTGTTGCTTAATTTTATTATTTGCCTTCATACTAAGTTTCAATTATTGCACCAATAGCCACATTTATATTTTTAGGATGCAATTGCAATTACTTTGCAATTATAGCCTATGCATGCATTATTACATTATTTTACCAGAAAATAGCCTTTTATATTTTTAAAATATCTCCAGGCATGAAAATCATTTTTTACAGCATATTAATTATTTTTAAAAATTATTTCATCAATTAAATATGGTATTTAACAAATGGCCCCTTTATTTTCAAATTTAGCCTAAATACCTAGCCCAATTTTAACCCTAATTTCAAAATTAAACCATGCCCAAAATCTGCCCAACCCAAACCCCTTATCTACACGACCCACTTCTTGCTAAATCCTGGCTATTGATCATTTTGATCAACGGTCCAGATTCCCCCTTACCTAAAGTAAACCCTAATGACCTCCCCCAAACCTCTCATTTTCCTCTCCTCTCACCGCCGTCGTCTGATTCCCTACTCTCTCAAATGCTCTCAAATCCTAATGCTAACTCACCCTCATCGCCACTCATCTACTATCATTCATGGTGGTTTCTCACCACCATCAGACCTCTAATGGCCTCTCCTATGCTGGTGTCGCCATCTCTAAGGTCCTCGAGGGACCAAGGTCAGTCCACTTACACCTATGGCCCTTTTTCACCTGTTTCAGGCTGTTCCAGTTCAATTTTGAGTAAAATCTTCCTTTGTTTGTTCGGGCTTTTCGATATTTTTGTTTGGATTCTGAGTTTGTCTAGGTTACTTGTGCACCGATTTCATTCTATGCTTTAGTTCCTGTGATTTTTCTTTAGCTTAATTCGATGTCTTGTGATTTTTTATCCTAATGTGCCTCTATTAAGGTTTTGGTTTCGGCTCCTCTACTAATTCTATGTATATTCACTTTGTCTATTCATGGTAAACCTATATCTCTCTCCTTAAATCAGTGTTGATTTGAATTCTTGATTTATCAATTTGTTTCGTTAAGACCTATGTGTTGAGTCCTGACTATTCCTTTCTTGCCTTATTTGAATTGTCTGCGATACTTACTGATTCTTTATATGATTCTCTCCTTCATTAAACCCTTTACTATTTTATTCTGAAGTTCTTTATTTTTGGTTTGATTTGAACTCCTTTTCTTAATAAGGTCTCTGATTCTTACCTCTTTACTCAGTCTAATTGAACCTATTGCCTTAATTAGTTCATGTCACTACCGTTGGCTAATTTTCCTTAATTAAAGGAGAAAACTATGCTGAATCTTTGTGTGATTGATTCCGAAATACCTTAATTGCTTATTATTGATTACTTTACCTTATTTGCTCTATTCTTAAATTACTATATAAACTCTCTTTATTTTAACCTCAACACACGAACATTAGTTTATCAACCACTACTTTTACACTCTAAAAAGCTCTTTCTGCTACTTGTGATCTTTGTTAGTCTAGCCGGCTGCAAGCCAAGGCTGAAAATTGCACAACACCTATCTTACATCTTGTGTTTTCTTTCTCTAACTGGTATGCTTCTGATTAAATTTCAGAATCCAAACCTATGTGTTTATTTACTACCTTAGTTCATCAATCCTGAGTTCATTTCTGCTTTTGTTTACTGCTTACCTAGCATGCCAAATACTGCCTTATTCAAATATGTGATTAGCATGTTTTCCCTTTACTTGCTTGTTTGCTATATTGTTTAACATGTCTTACATATTTAACTAGCCTGTTTGACTGACTATTGTTTATCTAGCATGCCTAAACTTTGCTTTTGTGTAATTAGCATGCCTACACTTGTTAATACTTGCCTAGCATGTCCATTTGAGTCCTTGCTTATTCTTCCTTACTCCTACTAAGTTATCTATTCTCCCTAGGGTAACTATAGTTGTGTTGTTTATATGTCTTCAACATGTTTCTGCTGTTATCTTTACTTCATGTTTCAATGACATGCATTATATCTAACCTATTAGTTCTGTAGAACCCCTTGAGAACTCTATGCACCCTGTTGTTTATGTACTCTATTAATGTGTATTCTATGTGTTCCCAACCCCTCTTTCCTTGTGTGGAAACTATTTTCCAAAGTATTTTTTAAAGCTGTTTGTTCAGTGACTTGTGTTCTAATTGCAAATTGTTTTTCATACTTTCCTCCAACTGTTTTACCACTAAATTAGTACTGGTTTTCAGAAACTCGTTTCACTCCTAAGACCTTTCTTTATACTATTTACCAAACTCTTTTAAATCATTATGCACTCTCACTTACTCTTAAATTACTAAGTCCTGCCCCTCTAGTATGTGTACTGCTTAGAGACTCTTGAGATCTCTCTGAACTCTGGCATATTAGGGCTGACACTTCCACACTGCACAATAAATCAGTCCCTACTTGAGAAAGGTCTGGGTGTGAGCACTGCCCGGGATCCTTGAGGTTCTTAGGGAACTCTGACACACCTAGACATGAAATTAGCTATGAAACTTTGGGCATTTGAGACTACTAAAGGCTTGGAAATTACTTTGGGCCTACTTCAGGCTTCCTATAGTTTAATTTCTGTTCTATTTATGTATTTTTGTTGATCTATAATAATTAATTGTTAATAGATATTGGGGTGACTAGTAAAAAGGGAGGGTAGTTGTATACCGTGGGAAAGTTGGGTAGATAACATGCCTATAGGGTTCATTTTGATTCAAATGCATTTTGGTAGATAACATGCCTATAGGATTCATTTCGATTCAAATGCGTTTTGTTAGATAGCATGCCTATAGGGTTCATTTTGGTTCAAATATGTTTTGTTAGATAATATGCCTATAGGATTTTGCTTTGGTTCAAATAAATTCTGCTTGCTTTACTTTACATGATTAGACACTATGCCTATATGATCTAAAAATTAGTTTAATTAGAAACCTTGTATATAGGATCTAAAATCAGTTTTAATTACAGAAATCCTGCATGTAAGTTCTGAATTAGTTTATTTAACTAACCTACTTGTTTCTTCAACGCTGTGTTAATTAATATCACTAGAAAGCATGCCCATAGGATCCTAATTGTCCGTTTAAAATTGTTTACTATTTTACTGCATTCCTGATCAATGATTAAATACCATGCTCATAGGACATCACTATTACACGCCTAGACAAGCCTATAAGGCGATTAAAAATCCTGCAAACTGTAAAGTTACGCTCTGTTATTTGTGACTGCTCATATTCAACAGGTCTAAAATTAGTAGGCAAACTGAATAGGTCTTTGACACTTTGGTCCTAACTCAATACTGCATATTCTCAGCTCACTAGATATCCTGTTCTAGGGCTTCTCTTAAATACCTGATACTTTGTTTAAGATGTGCACTTACTTGCTCTATTTGTGGAGATAAAACTTGAGCCTTTAATTGTTCCATCTTTGGTCCAGTCCTAATTGTTTTAGTTATCGCCAAGATTTTTCTCCTTTAAGTACCTTAGGATAGTCTAGAACTACCCAAATTAGAGGTCCTAAATACCTCGGGGCCACAAGGAAGGGACGGGTAGTGCATGCATAAGATATCTTTTAAGGTTATTAGAACGCTTTAGGCTATGACCAAGGGGAGGGAATTGGGTAGTAAGGATATAATGACCGCGCGCTATTGTCACATATTGCCCCTTATTGAGGAGTGATTATCGGGCATTGCATGGGTGTGATCCTGTAGGCTAACCAACCTAGGACTCCTCCTTCCCAATTCCTACGTGCTTAAATTTTATGAACTTCCTTTTCTTTACATATATATATATATATATGTATGTATGTATGTATGTATGTATGCATTCATGTATGTATGTATGTATGTATGTATGTATGCATGCATGTATGTATGTATGTATATATGTATGTATGTATGTATGTATGTAGGTATGTATGTATGTATGTATATGCAAGTTGTTCCCTTGCTTCCATTATGTGAATCATACATGTGTTTAGAATGTGAAAACATGCCTTTATTTGCAATATGTGTTGAAATTGTTTACTTGCAAAATGACTAATTCACATAGTTTAAGTTCGGCCGGGACCCACTGTTATGGACCGCGAGGGGTGCCTAACACCTTTCCCTCAAGATTATTTCGAGCCATTACCCTAATCTCTGGTAATGCAAACTAGTTACATGAGTTAATTGCTCTAGGTGCCCTAACGCACCATAATCCGTTAGGTGGCGACTCTTCAAAATACCCAATTCCCAAAAGGAAACGAGTTATTCCCCCATAAATGTCGAAACCCGGACTTCCCCGTCAAAAAGGGAAAAAAGGGGGCGCGATAGCATGGTGACTCTGCTGTGGATATATTTAGGCTCTTACCATAACGAACTTGTTTTGTGAATTAGTTCAAGCATGCTCTATCCCACATACCTTTTCCCCTTATCTGAATTTAGCTATCTATTTTCAAGTATTTATGATTTCTTTACTTTCCTGAAACTGACTTGTCTCTTTGTTTTCTTTTTCCGTAACTGTCTTTCAATTATTTAAATACTGCATTTATCATTTTTTACATGCAAATAGTTGACAACATGCTATTTATTGCTGCATAAATCATGCTCAACATCATATTCCACTCGTGCGTAATTAATCCTATAGCAACGCTTGATGAGTGTTTGCGCTCTTCCTATATATCACCCATTAAATTCGGAAAGACGTATTTGCAGTAAAACTAGTCGATCATCGGTGTGTTCAATGGTTCTGTGCCTTTCCCCCTCAAGTTGTCCACTTGAGGGTCCCAGTCTAGAACTCTATAGCAGCCTTACTCTGATTAATTGTACATGCATCATGATCAAACCTAGCCGGGTTAATATGTTGTCCGCATAATAACCCTTTAAGACAAGCC